GGGCTGAGGGCGGTGGGCCTGACCCCGCGGTCACGGTCGGACCGCTCGCGCCAGGGCCGAGCTGCCGGGCCTACTTCTTCCTCTCCGGCCCCCGCCCGGCTCACGCCTCGCGGCCCGCCGTGAAGGTCCAGCGCCGTGCCAAGGCCGGCCGCTCTGACTCATCTCCCGCTCGGCCTCCGCCCCCGGGGCCGGCCGCCCCAGTGGTCAGCCGGGAGGGCGGCGTCTCCAGGCGGGACTTCCCTGGGCGGACTCCCAGGAGCAGGGGAGCAAACACCAGGCTGCCGCAAACCGGCCCAGGGCAGTGCCCACGCTTCTTAGTGCCAGACAGGCCGTTCCCAGGCACAGGCGGTTCCCTGCCTCTGCCGCCGCCTTTCGGAACTCTGGGAACAGGAGCAAGGCCCATTTTGTTCAGGTCTAAACCAAAACAAAACCAAAAAAGCTAATGGGGGGCCGGTGTGACTTAGAGCAGAGAGCAAGGAAGGGCCCCTTCGGTGACGCCCCGTGGGGAAGGAGGAGGGAGAGCAGTTAGCACCTGGGCATCTGGCAGGTCCCACAGGGAGACGTGGCCTGAACATGCCCTGGGAGTGAAAGTGACATGCGGAAGATGCCCAAGATCTAGGTTAAGTCTGAAGACTGGATGGATACTGCCATATACGCCAGTAATGGGGACGGCTGGAACGGAGAAGAGGATGTGGTTCAGCTCAGGAGTGGGGAGGATGTTTTATCTGAGGGATTTTTAACTGTGTGTGGTGGGGCTATTCTGATATGCAAATGATTTGAGCTTTAGAACTTCACCTCTTGTTTTGGAGGATAGGGCCTCCACCTTTTTCATCTTGTGAAATCCAGACTCAGTGGTAAATTGTTTTGTGATCCCAGGACCCTGCAGCAAAGACTAAGAGGCATCTCTGGTAGGGTGGAGGCAGTGCTGACAATTTTCAGCATCCTCCCCTTCCCCAAGCTTTGAATGGATTCTTGCCACCAGCAGCTTGGATAGAGTATAAACATGTTGCTTTGTTTCTGCGTCTGGGCAAAGGCTTCATCTATTTCAGCAGGGGAGGGGTTAAGAAGAGGAGCCCTGTGTGGGCATCTGGAGCTTTCAGGTGGGGGAGGGCAGAGATGGGGTGGAATTACCTTATAAAGAGTGAAATATAGACAAGGACCCAGGCCAACTTCCTGCTTTGGCTACTACCAAGTGGTCCCTTTACCCACACCAGCTAAAAGCAGAGAGGATGCCCGATGGGCATCTACCTGGGAAGATGCCAATAAGGCCAGGACATGAGGCTGCTTGTTTTTCAGAAGAGGACCTTCTACCTGGACTAACCAGACCTTCTAGTTTCCATAGTGTGGGTTGGGATGTTAGTCTATGCCCACCACACAGTTCAGAGAACTAGTCATTTAAGTGTCAGTCAGGAATATTAGAAGTGACAAAAAATCACAACTACTAGTATCTCCTGAGTGGGCTTAGGAAGTAACAATGGCTGTAATACAGCCGGCAAAGGCACTACACTGATACTCCTCACATAGGTAATCTGATATTTTGAGTCTGAGTTTCTAGGGCTGAGGGGTTTATTAATCTGCCTTGTGTTGTCCACCTCGGCCTTTTGCCAGGTCTTTTCACTTTGGCCTCCTTTGTCCTTATTATCAGTTCCAGAGCCTTGATTTCTGCCCCACATGGTGATTGGCGGGCAGGCTGGGACTGATTGCAATTCCACACTGCTCTCCACCTCCTTGTTTTGTTAATTTGTTAACAAATACTTGTTGTGTAACAACTTTGTATACAGCCTTGTTCTGAGCATATGGGGGACAATAAAACACTCTAACTGGGGACGCACAGCACATTCCAGACCCAGGCCCTGCAACCTGTGTCAGATCTGAGCTCAAATCCTGGGTCTGTCACTTACAGGCTGGGTGACCGTGGGCAAGAGACCCTTCATCTCACCCAGGTTCCTTCCTTGTAGATGGGAGTAATGACACCTGCCTTGCCTGTAAGGATCAGAAATGGGGCATGTAAGGAGCCTGGTACCTAGGAGACATTTACCAGAGAATCTTGTCACCATTACCTTAGGATGTGGTAGCACAATGTGCACCGAGGGGATGTAGAGTATGAGCACCATCAGAATGCAAGTAGGCCTTACCAGGAAAGGTTTTCTGTAGTCAAGGTTTGACTGTGGCCCTGAGTCAACGAGTGTAGCTAAAGGACAGGGAAGGAAAGCATATCCCATCTAATGGATACAGCTAGAGTGAGACTATACACAGTTCCAGGGAGAGGGCAGCATGGCAGGATGGCTGGCTGTGCAGTGCAGCAGAAATCAAAGGCCCTTATCTGCGTGTCATGTCCCGGGTTCTCTGCTATGTGGCAGAGGTTGAGGAAAGCCCAGTTCTGGCTCGCGTGGAGCTCAGCATCAAGGAGGATAAAGACAAGTGAACTGAGAATTAGAAAATCCTGTGGAAAGCCCCATGAGAGGGGCTCCACCATCAATCACTAAGCACACCCCGAGGCAGAGCATGGACTGTGGGAGAGGTGCGGTGCAGGAAGGTGCTTAACAAATGCCCGTCTTGGCCCCTCTCGGGCTATTTTGGCTGAATGCACAGGAGGTGTTCTGTTCTCTGCTGCCAGGCACTGCTCTGTTTCTGCTCCTCCAGGGAGGTGCTAGGGACAGCCCTAAGCTTCACGTATCATTCCCTTTTCTCCCCCAAGACTCTCTTCAGGAGAAGGGTCCCCAGCCCACCTCATCATGTCACGACGAAGCCAGCGCCTCTCGCGCTACTCCCAGGGTGACGACGATGGCAGCAGCAGCAGTGGAGGGAGCTCAGAAATGGGGAGCCAGAGCACCCTGTTTAAGGACAGTCCTCTCAGGTAGGGATGCAAGGGAATGCCACCCCCTGTCGGGTACACCGCCCCCAGAGCAGGGGCTCTTCCTGTTGCAACTTTCATGGGCAGAGACCAGATGCCTGTGTCCACTCAAGGGGGCTCTGCCTTTCTTCACACCTATGAGGATGCCAGAACCCAGCCACTGCTCCCCCGCCATAACCGGTGCTGCTGCCTACATGGTAGACAACAGGAAGTGGGGGGACTGCTGCAAGCATAGGTCAGGCCGCAAACCCCAAGCTGCAGGCTGGGCTCGCAGGAAACCCTCTGCTGTGGAGGGTGTGGCAGCCCACTGCCCTTCCTGGGCCCACACCCGCGTGTCTCACAGCTTGTAGGGCCTCAGCGACGCAGCTGAGCAGAGGAATGAATCCTGCCCCCTTGCAGGCATGAGGCCCAGATTCCAGGCCCCTGAGGCTTTGGCTAGTTCTAGGAGGCCAGGTGGGGCTTGCCTAAGTTTTCAGTGGGTTGTAGAAATTACTAATTCATTAAGATACACGGGAAAAACATTGGCTTTGAAGTCAGAGACCTGGCTTTATCCCTCCATGCTGGTCTTGCCTGTCTGCAGTTGCGAGCCAGAGATATAGAAGCAGAGACGGCACCTGCTGGAGGGTGGGCAGGAGGAGATGGAAGCTGTTAAGTTGCCTCCCGCTAGAAGAGGGCACCAGCGGCTTTGGTTCTCTTGAGCATTCCTGGCTGGGCTCACCTCCCCGTTCCTGCCTCTCCCCTCACGGCTGTTCCACAGGAGCCTGAAGAGGAAATCCAGCAACATGAAGCGCCTGTCCCCAGTACCCCAGCTGGGCCCTGCCTCCGATGCGCACACCTCCTACTACAGCGAGTCCCTGGTACGGGAATCCTACATAGGCAGCCCCCGGGCTGTGTCCCTCGCCAGGAGCTCCCTTCTCGACGACCACCTGCATAGTGACCCCTACTGGAGTGAGTGGTAAAATCTTTGTGATGGGGCTTTGCATCCTCTGAGATGCTCCTCAGCGTGTCCCCGTGGGGTCCTCCTCCAGAATACCCTCTTTGGAGTGCCTCTCTGCCCAAGGCCCAGGAGAGCCCCTCATTCTTCCCTGCACAGGCGAGGACCTGCGGGTGAGGAGGAGGAGAGGCACAGGCGGCACCGAGAGCAGCAAAGTCAACGGTCTTGCCGAGGACAAGGTCTCTGAGGACTTCCTTGGCTCTTCCTCGGGCTACTCTTCGGAGGACGACCACATGGGTAGGCAGCGCCTCCTTCCTCCCCAGCAGATTCCTGGCTGCTGGGAGGTCGTGGGAAGCCTGCCCAGGTAGCACCCTGATAGCTCAAGGGAGCATAGTGGGTGGTGGGCACTTCACATATGGGCCAGGCATCCCTCCTGTGCCCAGCCTTGCACCTGAATCTTGGCCTGTGATGGCCCTTCACACCCTGGGCTGTGACTACCAGACTTATCTCTGTCCCACCCCCACTAGTCTATGAGATACTTATGGCTCATTTTGAGCATTTTAATGGGGGCGCCACCATGGTAGGTGCTCAGTAATTATTTGTTAAATGCATGGATGCTCCCTTAGTCTAGTTCCAAACAGTGGTTTGAGGGACTGTTGGTGAGGAGAGGGATGCAAACAAAAAGTTCTAGAGGGAGATAAAATGTCAGAAAGCACCCACGTCTTCTCTTCTGCAAACAATTACTGGCCAGGCCTATGTGATGCTCTGGCGATGTGAAGAAGAGTGACATGTGGTCTTGGCTTTCAGTCTAAGGGAGAAGACAGTGAAGGAACAGACAGGTACCACATCCCACAGCTCTTAAAAGTGACAGCAGACAGAACTGGTTTCCTCTCCTCTCTTTCTGCAGGTTATTCACATATGGAACAGCATGGCTCAGGCTCACGGTTAAGGAGTGCCATCTCTCGAGCAGGCTCTTTTTTCTGGATGGTGGTCACTTCTCCAGGTGGGTGCTGGTTAACCCATGCTCAGTTACATCCATTGTCTGCAGCAGAACTTCTTACCCATCTCTCTGTGGTTGGGCATCCAGCCCATACAGAAAGACTGTAGGACCATCAGGGAAATTGCTAGAATGCTTTCCCTGATGAAACAACCACTGATGAACAACCACTGGGAGCTGAGAGCCATGGGAACACCCTCGCTTGGAAGGATCAGCTGCAGAGCAGGACAGATGATATGGGCAGGTGGATTAGAGGGACTGGGTCCACTGTAGGACAGGCCAGAGGTGCACTGGCAGGTGGGTGTTGGGAGCAGGGGCAGGGAGGACCAGATGGAGAGAGAGAGATGCTGTAAACCACAATCTGAAGCCTTAGGCTTGATGGTCACTTTTTCAGGCCGGCTCTTTGGACTTCTCTACTGGTGGGTTGGCACCACTTGGTACCGCCTGACCACAGCTGCCTCCCTCCTTGATGTCTTCGTTTTAACCAGGTGAGCTAGACTCCAGCTTTGACAAAAAATCAGAAAGCCCTGGGACCAAAGGGACTGATAAAGTGTCTAAACCTGTATACTGTCATTTCTCTGAAGGTTCTTCCAGTTGTTTATATAGAGCTTTTTTCGGTGCGCATGGAGTGGACTCTCTGGAACCCATCTCTGTCCCACAGAGAAGGGACTCAGGGTCAGGTTTTGCTCCCCTAACTGATAGCCCTTCAGAGCAGTATTCTGGAACATGGGTTCTTATTTCCTCTTGGATACTTCCTGCTAAATGCCACCCCAGTCCAGCCACTTCTGATTGTAAGATAACTGATGGCCTTACTCCTGCTGGCTATGCCCTTAGGCTCTAGCCAGGAAGTGGGGTTTCCCAGAAAATCCAGCCTCCCTGTCAGGCCTATGACAGCCTAGACATGCAGTTTTCCCCCTCCTGTTCAGAAGCCTGGAAGAGGCTCTGCATAGGGATGCTGGGGGTTAGTTAATCGTGGGTCCCTAAATCAGCAGAACCAGGATTTAGGAACTTGCCCTTGGGCAGAGGAAAGAGGTCTGAACCAGGAAGTCAAGTTCCCTGTGGCCATAATCCAGGTCAGGCTGGAGCAGTCAGCTATGCTGAGAAGAGGGGCAAGGACAGATTCATGTCACCAAGAAAAGGTTCCTCATTTTTCTAAAAGAGAATATTGTTTAAGGAGTTACGTGTTTTTTCCTATATTTGCTTGCTATATATAGAATTTTTAGGTTTTTCAAATACCACACTATTTTTAATAACATCAATAAAATTCACATAGCCAAAATTGTCCCCATCACTCTAAGACCTGCACTGCAGGTAAAGATCTGAAGTGACCAATCTGGTCCTGGCACGACAAGAAACTTGAGGGTGTCCCCCTTTACTCACTACTCAGGAAAAAGTTTCAAGAGACTCCAGGGGGAGTCCGGTGGCCTGAGCCCTCCTCCTTACATCTCCTCTTCTTGTCTTCCCTCCCGATGCCGCAGGCGCTTCTCGTCCCTGAAAACATTCCTCTGGTTTCTCTTGCTGCTGCTGCTCCTGACCTGCCTGACTTACGGTGAGCTCTGCGCAGCCTGTGGCAGGAGTCGGGGTGGGGAGAGCGGAGGGGCAGGAGTGGGATGTGGCAGATGCTGGTGCTGAGCAGACATGTGCACCCCAGGGCAATAGTGATCCCTTAGACAGGGAAGGAGGCAGGACAAGTCCGTACAGACCAAGCCTTGGGCAGCTCCTACCCTCGGGGCTCTGGACTCTTCTGTCTGGCTCTCTCCATTTGGGTCCTCTCCTGACTGAGGCTGCCTCTGCTCTCAGGGTGCCCTGGTGGGTCAAAGGGGAAACACCCCAATCTACTGATCTTGTTAAGTTGGGGTAGCCACACTGCACTACAGGGCATCTCTGGAACATTCTTAGTGTCACCCTGGACAGGAACATGTCCTAGTACAGCCATGTTTGGGTAAAAAGCAGGGACTCTGATGCTTTTTTTTTTTTTTTGGCGGCTGGCCAGTATGGGGAACTGAACCCTTGATCTTGGTGTTACAAGGTCATACTCTAGCCAACTGAGCTAACCGGCCAGCCATCTAATACTGTTATTATTAGCAGTCATTTTCCTTCCAGCCCAAATCAGGACAGAGTCTGTGAGTTATTTTTACAAGATCAAGTTAAATCTTTAGCTGTCTTTAAGGTAAAAACAATAAAGTAGTAAAGAGAAATAAATATCTCTTTTTACACCAGGATACCTACCACTCATTTACCGGTGGCTCTACATTGTTCCAGTCTGTCATGAGTTTGTTTTTATATGTTTTGTGTTCAGCTTTTCATTGGCACCTGCATGTCAGTTTCACACTTTTCCTGTGAGTTGCCTATGCGGTCCCAGGCTCAATTTTTATTTTTACTTTTGTTTTTTTGCATCTGGCCAGTACAGGGATTAAACCCTGGACCTTGGTGTTATCAGCACCATGCTCTAACCAACTGAGCTAACCAGCCCCCAGGCTCAATTTTAATGATAGTACCAATTTATAATTAAAGGCCCTGCTTTATTATTTTTTTAGAGAGTTGGGTTTTTAGGTTTAGCATCTATTCAATTTGTATTTCTTTTACTAATAATAGGGTAGAATATTTTTCCAAATGTTGGTTTTCTTTTTTGTGTTTCCTGTTACAAGAACAGCTTATACACATCCAGTGGAAACTGGGCATTGTCCTTAAAATAATAAGGATCCTTTATAATTGTGTAGTGTTTTATCCAGAAAGCACTTTTCCGTACATTATCTCAGTTTAATTTGAGCTTCACTGTGACCTTGTGAGAGCCATTGTCATGGTCATGTCATGTGGAGATGCACATGGGAAAGGGTTGGGTGACCTGCTCAGGGAGTGTGTGAGGGAGGACCACGTCCACATTGGACCTCAAGCCCAGTGGTCCTGTGGTGTCCCTTACACCTGCTCACGGCTGGTGATTGACTGGCAAGTGTGGAGTCTTACCAGGATGGAGACTCTTAGCCCATGTGATTTTTCAGGTTCTCTCTCTGTCTCGCCCTCACACACACACAGCTCAGGAGTAAGCACATCACACAGATGGCCCCTAAAGCAAGAGGCAAGTGCCTCTATGGCTGCAGCTTTTGCTCTGGGCCAACCAGCAGACTCTCTTAGAGAAGGTGCTGCATTCTGTCTCAGTGATTCTCAGCCCCGGCAGCCCATTAGAACCACCTGGGGAGCTTTTAAAACCTACTGACACAGGGTCGCCACTCCAGCCAATTAACTCGCTCTCTGGAGGGCAGGGCCAGACACTGGTTGTTTTAAAAGCTCCCCAGGTGATTCTGAGGTACAGCCAGGCTGACAACGACCACCAGGGCCTCTGGGTTCTACCCCTGAATCATCCCTAATATCTTGAAGCTGTTTTGTCCAAGTTTTGCAGTCAACAAAAGACAAAGGATTCCTGCAGGGCATGAGAGTGAATGTGCTCTGAGACTGTCAGGAGGCAGTTGCCCCCTCAGAGAATGTGGGAGCCACCATCCCTCTTCCTGCCTCTGGCAGAGCACTGCTCACATGAATGAGACAAGCTACACCTTCCTTGGCTAGCCTGCCTCTCCCCTGTGCACAGGCGCGTGGTACTTCTACCCCTACGGGCTGCAGACAGTCCACCCTGCTGTGGCTTCCTGGTGGGCAGCGAAGGACAGCAGAAGGCAGCATGAGGGGTGGGAATCCCGAGACTCGTCCCCACATTTCCAGGTGAGTATCTTAGGGTCATAGGTTCCCAAGAGTTTAGCAACCACTGGTGAAGGTGGAAGTGGCAGGCCCTCCCTCAGCCTGTTCTTGCAGTTGATTTCCCTCCCTTGCATCTTACACAAAGCTCAGGAGATGCTGTCCTAGCTGGGACACTCCTTTTTCTACTTTTTGGGGTACATGTGTTGGGAGAGGGTTTTTACCTACACTTAAGTATGACTCAAGACTGTATCCAAAAGTTAGTTGCCATCCTAAGAAGCACAACAAACAGAAGGAAGAGGAATTCAGCAAATTATCTTGTCTACTTTGTACCTTTTCAATTTCACAAATATTTACTGAGCACCTTCTATGAATATGGTAATATAGCAGTTATCTTTTTCCACAAATAAACCACCCCTAAAATCAGTGGCTTCAAGCTATAAGCATTTGATTAGCTTATGAGTCTGTGGGTCATCTGGGTCCCTTTTGGTGTGAGCAAGGATAGGCGATCTTGGCTGGGCTCCCTCCTGTTTGTGTCTGCAGTTGTCTGGCAGGTCAGCTGGGGGCGGGCTGACCTAGGCCCTTGCCTGCACTTCTCTCAAGCAGCAGGCTAGTCTGGGCTTGTTCTCATAGCAGGATTCCAAGAGGGAACCGAAGCAGGCCAGACCTCAGAGGCCTAGACTCAGAACTAGCACACTGTCACTTCCACCCATGCTCTGTTGGCTGAAGCAAATCTCAGAGCCGATCCCAGATTCAAGGAGGGGGAAATAGACTCCACCTCTCAATGGGAGAACCTGCAAGATCACTTTACAGAGACTGCAGACAAGGGGAGGAGTGAGGGACAGAGGCCATTGTTTTTTCTGCCAGAGTCTAAAGATAAACTAAGCCCAGGCTGTGCCCTCAAGGAGCCTGCAGTCAGCAGGCGGTGACAAGTAACCAGAAGGTGGTATGAGCACAGGTCCTGGTGTTGACAAAGATTTAAAACTCTTTTTCCGCTAATTATAGTTATTTGAACTTTGCTTGCATCCTGCTGAATTTAATTTGGTATCATATTTTTAACCATCTGTTGTTGCAGGTATTATTTTTTTGACCACGCTTTTATTATTTCATAAAATAATGACATGTTGTCATCTGTAACTTCTTTTTTAATCATTAAAGATGTTAAATGCAATTCAATTTCAGAAGCACGTTTTATGTAAAAAAAAGGGGGGGGGAGAATAAAGAGTATGTCTTTGTATTTGTTTACATTTGCATAAAGACACTAATAAAAACAGGTGCCTGGTTTGGGGGGTGGTGGTGAGGACACTGGGTGGACAGGGCAGAGGATGAGAGCATGACTGTGCTGTTTGTTTGCTTTTTGAGTCATGCAAATGTATTGCCTGTTCAAAAAATGGTATTTCTAAAACTGAGATCCTCTGACAGTCTAGCCCCCTTGCCCTTTGACACTTGACATACTGTGTTGTATTTCTGTTGGCAAAAATTTTGTTGTTAAGCCAACAAGGTTCTCAGAATTCATGAAAAGCTATAAAATGCCACCCTCAGGTCCAGATGACTTTTATTCCATCTTCTCAGTGGGACATCCAGTTAAAGAGGAAAAGAAAGCCTGTTCAAATTATTTTGTCTTTAGCCATAGTTATCTGTGGAAGGAGTGAAAGCTGTTGAAAGTCAACAGCTGTAATTCTCAGCCCCTCGCTCTCCCGAACCTGTGCAAGGGCAGGAGGGGAGTGAGGTGGGCTTCGTCCCAGCAGGTCCCCTTACCCCTGCAGCCACGCTGAAGCTTCCCCTGTCCTCTTCTTGGACTGTCCCTGCACTCAGAGCCTCTCACCCAGCCTCCTTTGGGATCAGACTACTGCACCATGTCCTCAGGGAACCCTCCTTGGTGTCCTGTCCCAGCACCCTGTGCCTCCCCATCCCACAGCACGAATAAGCTCAGAGCTCCCTGCCACTGGAGCAGAGACCAGCATGTGCTTACATTGGGGCATTTCTGGGGTTCTGTCCCCTCTTCTCTGCGGGCTGCCTTGGGAAATCCTGTTGCCTGAGGGTTCTTCTGGGTCCCTCACCTCTGTGGTTCTCCCTCCTTGCCAGGCTGAGCAGCGCATTCTGTCCCGGGTGCATTCTCTGGAGCGGCGCCTGGAAGCTCTTGCTGCCGAATTTTCCTCCAACTGGCAGAAGGAGGCCATGCGGCTGGAACGTTTGGAGCTGCGGCAGGGGGCCACTGGCCAGGGAGGCGGCAGCAGCTTGAGCCACGAGGACACCCTGGCACTCCTGGAGGGGCTTGTGAGCCGCCGCGAGGCTGCCCTGAAGGAGGACTTCCGCAGGGACACGGCTGCTCGCATCCAGGTGGGGTGACGGAGATACCCCAGGGTGTGCCAGTGACATCCGTGGGAACCCATCGCATGACTGTGGGTGTGTGGGGTGGGAGGGGCCCAGCGGGGTGTGTGAGAGAGCAGTGTGTCACTTGGAGTCAGACAGCTTTGCCACTTGGCAGTGATCCTCTGTAAGCCTGTTTCCTCTTCTTTAGAATGGAGACTATCATGTCTACCCCCGACCCCCAGTTGTGAGAGGTGCAATCATGGAGCACCTGGCAGCGTAGGCGTGCAGTAGAGGTCAAGTGGGAGCCTTTTTTGTGTGTGTGTGTGTGTGTTTTTTTTTTTTTTTTTGTGGCTGGCCAGTATGGGGATCTGAACTGGGACCTTGGTGTTATGGTCTCTCAAGTGAGCTAACCAGCCAGTGTCATGCGAGGAGTCCTGCATACTTCAGAAAAGCACTGTAGCATAAAGGCAAAAGCTGAAGCTTTGGAATCAAACAGACCTGGATTGAATTTCAGTTATACCACTTCCCAGTTATAAGTGCAATTTAAATCTTCAGTCCTCTCCTTCCTGTCTGACAGGAAGAACTGGCCACCCTGAGAGCAGAACACCAACAAGACTCAGAAGACCTCTTCAAGAAGATCGTGCAGGCCTCCCAGGTCAGTGGGCTTGTGTGCACTCAGGACCTGCATTGGGGTCCTGATCCAATTCAGCATCCGTTCTTGGACTGAAACACCTTAGACCCCCATGGCCCTTCAGAAGGGACTGTAAAGACGCTGCAGGGGGAGGGGTGTGAGCTGAACTCGCCTCAGCTGGAAAGCCCCGCAAGGGCTCCCGGGAGTGCTGAGGGAACAGGTGGTGGTCTGGATGCCTGAGTGCATCGGATACAGGACGAGACTCTCATAGGACCTTGATCAGGAGGCCAGTTTGATTTCTGCTGCAGGGGTCAGGAGACTCTGGGCAGGGATGTGGTTAAGCACAGACCACAGTAGAAAGCAGGTACTACTCTGGAAGACCGAGCTCTCTGAGCCTGGCATTTCTTGTGTTTGTCCCTTCCTGCTCATAGGAGTCTGAGGCTCGCGTCCAGCAGCTGAAGTCAGAGTGGCAAAGGTAATGGGCACCACCAGTTGGCCTAGGCCTGCTTCTCCCCACCCTTCCCCACCCCCAGGCAAGACTGGGGAGCAGAGGCAATGGCTAGAACCTAGCTCAGGACCCCTGCTTAGATCCTGTTTTTGAGGTGAAGCGGAGGTTAGCAGGGGTGGCTGATGGTGGGCGGTGGGCACCACAGGAGGATGGGGATTCGCAGGCTCACTTATACACACACTATCTTTTCTGTGCAGCCTCATGAAGGCAGCCCCCTCACGCCCCAGATGTCCACACTTGTCGAGGCTCTGAGAGGCTAAGGCAGAGCAAACACGGACTTGAGGCTTGGTGAGGCAACAGGTTCAGAATTAGCTCCTTGGAACAGGCAAGCCAGTGCCTAGGCACCTGTGGTGTGTTCTACAGCCAGAATCTCCAAAGGGAGGTTTTGCCCTGCCTCGAGTTCACGATGGGTGATGGGCATGAGCCCTTGAACAGGAGCCAACTAGAGGAGCCTCTTTCTTCCTCATCATGGCCTTAGCCTTGGATCTCTCTGGGGAGGGCTTACTCTTCTCTCTCTGGGACTAGGATGACCCAGGAGTCCTTCCAGGAGAACTCGGTGAAGGAGCTGGGGCACCTGGAGGGCCAGCTGGCAGGCCTGCGGCAGGAGCTGGCAGCCCTGAGCCTGAAGCAGAGTTCGGTGGCAGATGAAGTGGGCCTGCTGCCCCAGCAGATCCAGGCCGTGCGAGATGATGTGAGTTGGAACCATCCAAGTGCCCCACTGAATGCCATCTCCTCTGAGACCATCTATCCTGGGGGTCTGCACAGCAAGAGTCTCTTGCCCTGCAGCCTCTGTTACTCCCAAGAAACTGCTGTGACAAGTGCTGGCTTTCTTTGATGGGAGTTCTTCCTGTTTTTCTATCACTGCCCAGAGAGTTGTTCATAACTTTCCTCCAGGTGGCCCCCTGCTTCCCTAGCCCTGCTGCCTACACTGAGCACCGCCCCACCCTGGGCCCTGGCTCCTGCTGTCTCCCAGGCTGATGCTGGGTTTTGGTCCCTAGGTGGAATCTCAGTTCCCTGCCTGGATCAGTCAGTTCCTTCTCCGAGGTGGGGGAACCCGCACTGGGCTCCTTCAGAGGGAGGAGATGCAAGCTCAGCTGCAGGCGCTGGAGAGCAAGATCCTGGCCCACATGGCAGAGATGCAGGGCAAGTCGGCCAGGGAGGCTGTGGCCAGCCTGGGACTGACACTGCAGAAGGAAGGCATAGTTGGGGTGACAGAGGAGGTGAGGACCAAGTACCACACCCCACATATACACACACATATTGCTCTCCTACCTGGGAGGTATAGACCTGGACAGTCCCACACTGCCAGCTCATTGGTGTGTTCCAGAACATAAGTGATATGCAGAAGGCTCTGATGTGTGCTTTGGGACAGGAATGGGTGGGTGGAGGTACACTCATATCTGCCTGGGCACCTGAATGGTGCAAGCAGAAAAAGGATCAGTCCATGGGTTCCTGGTGGGGCGCAGGGGTGGACAGGTCTGCTTGCCATCCGTAACTGTCACCCGGTGATGGTGTTTCAGCAGGTGCACCGGATCGTGAAGCAGGCCCTGCAGCGCTATAGCGAGGACCGCATTGGGATGGTGGACTATGCCCTGGAATCAGGAGGTGTGTGTGTGCCACTTCCCTTGCTTTGCCCTGCTCTGGTCCCCACAGTGGCTGGCCCCTGACATCTGCCTGGACAGCTGTGGTGCCAAGCAAGCAGGGCTTGGGATCAGCAGAAATCACCCAACCTAGAACTCACAACAAAGACAGTTCTGGGAAGTCAGGATGGACCGAGCACCACCCATGGCTGGGGGAGAGGCTGGCCTTCATAGCTGCCTTGTGGGTCTGGGTTAGGGCTAAAGACCTGCCCTCTGTCCTCAGCAAGGAGACAGGCAGTGGCATCCCTCCTCTTGCTGCTCTAGCCCTTTGAGCCAGGAGCTCCTGTGACTGGCAAACTGAGCAGGTCATCTGGGTCTCCCTCCCCTGTGGCGAGCACCCACCTTTTCCTTCTTTCCCATCTCAGGGGCCAGTGTTATCAGCACCCGCTGCTCCGAGACCTACGAGACCAAGACGGCCCTCCTCAGCCTCTTCGGCATCCCCCTGTGGTACCACTCCCAGTCACCCCGAGTCATTCTACAGGTGGGCCCCTAGGGAGGACAACAGGGGGCTCTGAGCACACACTGGGTGCCTGTCCCATCCTGTGTCAGCAAGAGCTGGACTTGGTGCCCTGCTCTGATATGACTTTCTTCCCCTCCAGCCAGACGTGCACCCAGGCAACTGCTGGGCCTTCCAGGGGCCCCAAGGCTTTGCCGTGGTCCGCCTTTCTGCCCGCATCCGCCCCACTGCTGTCACCTTAGAGCACGTGCCCAAGGCCTTGTCGCCCAACAGCACCATCTCCAGTGCCCCCAAGGACTTTGCCATCTTTGTGAGTATTCAACCTGTGTGGAGGCCAAAGGGGCCAGAGGGGGATCCTGTGGGTCTCTGCTGAGGATCAGGTGGGGATCACTTTGACGGGGAGAAAGGGGAGTAGATTTGGAAGAGGTGGAGCCGGGTGGGAAACAGTACTTCAATCCCAGTTATCTCAGCCTATTGGAGGAAGGAAGTGAGGCCAAGAGAGTTAAGTGACTCATCCCAGACCGTGCAGCAGCCCTGTGTCAAGTGCTTAGACCCCCCTACAGTCCTGAGGAGGCTTGCGCTGACCTGCTGGGTGGGAGGGCATAGGTGTGGGGATGGGGAGGGAGTGTCCTCCTGGGTCCTCCCGTCACAACTCTCTCCTCCATCCCTTTACTGTGTTTTGTAGGGATTAGATGAAGACCTGCAGCAGGAGGGGACGCTTCTTGGCAATTTCACCTACGATCAGGATGGGGAGCCCATTCAGACATTTTACTTCCAGGTAGAGGATTCTCTTATGCCAGTGGAGGAGGCACACTCCCTTTCCCAGCCAGCCAGCAGACATTTCCCGAGCACTGCCTCTGCCAGGCACAGGCTTCAGAGAGGGAAGGTGCAGCCCCTGCCCTCAGGCCCTGTTCTCCCATCCCTCAAGACATAGAACTGGAGGTGGATGTCCAAATGGTCTTCAAGACGTGCTGTGCAGATGTCAGCACAGGGGACAGCAGTGTCAGGGATGCTTCCTGGAAAAGGGCACCACTGAGGCAAGTTTTATGAAAAAAAAACAAACAGTTAAGGTTTCCAGGAAGAGAAGATTGTAAAGGGCTTTCTAGGAGGGACCAGTGCGTGCCAGGCTCAGGGTTTGTGTGGCTAGCAGGGGCCTCAGGCAGTGCATGGGGCTTAAACTTGACAGGGCAGCAGATCTAGGCCCATTTTTGAAATGCAGATTCCCAGTCTCCACCCAGGAGAGTCTGATTCCTTAGGGCTGATGGTCCCCAGAAACCTGCATTGGAACAAACCATCCAGATGAGTCTGAAGCAGGCGGCCTCAGACCCACACCAGAGGAGTCCTAGTGTGAGGAACTGGGGGGAAGGGACTGTGAGAGGTGGAGAGGGGACAGTGGCAGGAAGAGAGATTGCAGAGGCGCAGGCATTTCAGCCCTCAGGGCTGTGGAGAGGGGCATTGCTGTGTTTAGGTGTGACATATGACAGTATGATGTGATTTTAGTAAGGTTACTGTGACCCCAAATGGCAAATGGAAGAGATGCAAACCTGGAGCCAGGGAGACTGCTCAGGAAAAGGTTGCAGGGAAGCAAGCCAGAGTCCATGAGATCCAGAAAGGGTGTTGGCAGTGAGGACAGAGACACGCTTGGGAGGGACCTGATGTCAGGCTGGATGGGAGCAGGGAGGAAGAGGTGGAGAGGATGACAGCTCCCAGGCCACCTGCGTGGGCCGCTGGAAGCCCAGCCGAGAGGGGCTGATGCAGAGCAGGGAGCAGGTTTGGCTGAGTTTGAGGCACCTGTAAGACAGTTTAGTGGAGCTGTTGTGGGGGACCAGTCGTAAAGACTGAGTTGTCTTCAGCTCCATCCAAAGTGATTACTGGGCCATGGGAGGGGTCGGGAATTCTAAGGGGCAATGTGCAGACTGAGCCTTTTGGAGAGTAGAGGACAGGAGGGAGAGCGCTAGGCCTATGGTAGGGCCAAGGTGAGATCTGCAGCAAGCGCTGGCTCAAATTGTGGCTTTCTGAGCCTAGAGGACAGAGGCCTGAGGAACACTTGAGAAAGAGAAGAAATTGTGTGTATATCAACACTTATCAAACACTCCATGAGGAAAGTTCTTCCCACTGATTGTAACAATAAAAAAACAACCAAGAGTGAATTCATCCCAGTTTTAGATGAATTGTGCTGGCCCTCAGTACCAAGACCATTTTTATGTGGCCAAGGGCCGGACCTGATACAGGCTCCTGTGGGTTGACCACTAATGCTCCTGGGGTCGCTGCAGAACTGCTGAAGGCCCCAGGGCTCCTGAGCCCACTGCCTGGAAACTGCTCTGGGAGACTGGACAGGAGCTTTTGAAGCCCAGTTCTCTTCAGAGCCCCAGTGGAGGAGGAAGGGAACCATCTGGCTCTAGGGGTGGCTGTCTCCCTTTCCCACCTTCTCTGTCTGTGAGGTCTCAAAAGGCTCTGTGATGTTCTCAACCCCTTTCTTCTCTACCCAGGCCCCTAAGATGGCCACATACCAGGTGGTGGAGCTGCGGATCCTGACTAACTGGGGCCACCCCGAGTACACCTGCATCTACCGCTTCAGGGTGCACGGGGAGCCCACCCACTAGCCCTTCTTTCTCGTGCCTGCTGCCAGCCATCTGGGAGTGGGTGAGCCACACCCTGCCACTTCCCCCACATGCTTGATCAGCGCTCTGACTTACAGGGGCAAGAAAGAGGACCCCTGGCCCCGTGGAGATGAGAAAGAATGTGCACGGGTTTCCTGAGCAGCAGGGCAGCTCAAGGTGGCCAGCAGGCTCCAGCGTCTCCTTTCATTCCTCCTCGTGCCAGCAGGCATCTCCTTCCCCCCTTCTGGGAGGGTGTACATATGTAGCATATTGTGGGGGACTGGGAGGTGGGGAGAAGTGAGACCCTACTGTCCTGGGCCAGGGTGGAGGGGCTGGCACCCACGGAGCTCTTGTTGGGAGGTGCTTGGATGAAGCGGGTGCCAAAGCTGTGGGGGGCCAAGCCAGGACCTGGGGGTGGGTGAGCTGGATGAACAAAGCTGCCCCCTATCCTGGTTAGGGAAATGAGGCCCTGCGGGAGGAAGGTGCTCAGCAGAGTACAGGATGGCACTGTCCCCAGGAAGCAAATGCCTGGTAGGGCTGGTGCCATCAACCTAGGGAAGCTTAGCCCACAGGGCCCCTAAAGGGCTTCTACAGAAGCCTTTATTTGTTCCGGGTAGAAGTGGGTCATGGGGCTTCTTGTACCCTAGAGGGGACTAGCTCCTATGTGCCTCTAAGGGCTGCTGCCTGTGTGGCTCTGAATGGCCTGGGGGCCAGCCCTGTAGGAGTCCCCTCTGCTGGGGATAGTTGCTAGTTGCTTTTACCCTCCTGATGCTGGGGTTAGGGCTTGCTCTGCTCCCCATTCCTGCTTGGGCTTGCCTGCACCCCACAGCAAGCTTTTCACATCTCCCCAGGGTATGGGGAACCCGGAGCTGTCTTTGGGGCCATTAGCATCTGGGGTTAGCTAGGAGGGTGGGGAGCGGGGGTCTCCCCAGATTCTTGTGGTGGTCTGGTGACAATGATGATGGTGATGTTCAGGGTGTCAAGTCTGTCTGCACTAGTCCATCCCCATCTAATCAGGCCCTGATGCAGGGGCCCTACCCTCAGGCTACCCCCTAGGGATCTTTCAGCTGTTGCTCAGATCCAGTTTCCTTCTGGCTCATTCTCTATGGGGACAGTCAGGTGGAGGCTGGTGGGGGAGGAGATTGGCAGAAGTTACCTTGGGTAGGGAGGAAGATGAGGAGGGGACTTTTGGACCCAGCAGGCCCTGTTTTACTATGTATATATTTTTCAAGATCTTGATTTTTTTAACTGAAAAGCTAAGGGCTTGATTCCAAGCCCCATTCTGTGAGGCACTGGGTGAAACTCAGTTCCTTGTTCCTGGCCACTAAGAGGCCTGAGTCCCTGGTTCTGGCTGTGTCTGTTGATTCTGGCCTGTGGGGAAGGGGCAAGAGGGGCTGCTATGCAGGCAATGCCCAGCCTCTAAGGAAGGCTGGGAGCACGGGGCTCCATGAGCACAGGACTCTGGAATCAGAATCTCAAATCGGCTCTGGAGTATGGGGCTGGAATGAAGTGGTTGTGAGGCCACAGCTGTCCCATGGCCCATCGCTGCTTCCGCACAGCCCCTGCCTTTGCCCTGAGACAACCAGGTTTTGTTTTGTGCTCTCCTGTCACAAATGCTGCACTATTGGTTCTTAATTTTTTTATCTCCAGATTCTAATTTATGCCTATGCAAAAAATAAATAAATGATGCCCAAGATCAATGAAATATGGTTTTTATCTGGCCATTGCATAGGATAGCTGCTCTTGGGAAAATAAGGAAATAAATTCTTAACCAAACCAATGTTTCCAAAGACTTATTCCTACTCCAGTGTTTCTGAGCTCCAGAGCTGGCAGGAGGAAGAAGATGGCTTTATTAGTTATCGTTGATACCCCATTACAGAGGCTTTTCCTGTCTCAGTTCCACTGAGCAGAGGCAGAAAAAGTTACAACAACCTTTACTACTGGCTGTGTCCACCTCGAGTGCAGTGATTCTCCTCCATGAGAATTAGGTATTTCCCCCTTCTACCTATAACTGGGATGGAACAAGGAGGTGGTCCCTGAAGGGCCAGAAACTGCTAGCTCAGCTCAGGGGGGAACAGTTCCCTAGACTGAGTTCAGGACCACTTCTCCAGCCTAACCCTGAAGGCTCTCGTACTGACCATGGCACCTGGGCCAGGGCTGCTCCTCATCACGAGTGAGAAATTAAAGGCAGGAACCCTGGTCAGTTGGGAGGGGGCTGGGTGGAACACACATCCAGCCCGGAGCCTTTGGGCCAGCTCTGAGTCCTAGGAAACAGCTGGGCCTGAGCTCGCCTCCCCTAATTGACTGAATACCTGCTCTGTAACTAGCACCATTTTCAACAAAGGAGATATCCCTGACTGGCACCAATACACAAGTCCCTGGAACTTGCCCCACACACCGTTAGAGCTCGGTGCCTGTGTTCATGCCCTCTTGGGCCAGGCACATACCCTCTGCCCATGTGCACACATTCAAATCCTATTGGCCCCACACAGTACAGCCCCCACACCATCTTCTCCATGGCACTTCCTCCAGCCCCAATCAAGCTTCTACTTCCCCTGCACCATGGCACGTTCCTTTCTCCTCATCTCACTCCGTGTCAGGGTGGTCAACAAGCCAGAACAGTGGTCCAGACTGTGAAGTCAGGGATCTGGCCATCTCAATCCCCATCCCATCATACAGGACTTCACTCCCAGTAAAGACGACACAAACACCTACTGCTGCAGGCATAGAAGAGCCAGGCCTTGCCACTCCAGATGACTGGATTAACAACTTTATTCTTTATCAACTGCAAAAGGGCTGGTGTTTTGTTCCAAATGAATAGCTGGGAGGGCTGAGACCTGAATGGACTTTTGTAGTCCCTGTCAACGTCAGTAAAACACTGGATTCCATCAGCTCCCTGCTAGCAGGTATGTGCCTGGTGATCACACAGATCCAGACCCATCCTCCTGAATGTCTGTGGGCAGAGGCCAGGGTGGTGGCCAGAGCTCCTGAATGCAAAGAATGATTCTGGCAACCACTGCCACTTACAGGGACAAAAGACAAAACAAGGTCCCCCATGGTGAAGGCCTGCAGAAAGACTCCACAGCCCCTGCCACGTCAGGGTCCTCAGTGCCAGAGCCCTCCTATTACAGAGGCACCTGTGGGCAGCAGCCCCTGGAAGTGGAGCCAGAGCCAGGGCAAAGAGCGAGAGGGAAGCAGCCAATAGACAACAGAAGGGGCAAAGGACAAGCCGCAGCAGCTGACGAGGAAAAACTGTGGGGAAGGGCTGGCGCAGGAACTAACACCTGCTGGTGACACTTCTGAGCTTCTTCAGTTTCCCTCACTAGAAAAACAAAACAACACCTATCTCGGACGGTAACTGTGAATGTAAAAGAACATGAAGCATGGGAGAGCCCCTGGCAGTCCTGGCCACATACGTTGGGTCCTGAGGGAGCACCTCCCACGTGCAGGGAACTCCAGGGCCTCACCTACCGTCTCTCACCCAATCAATATGCACAACAACCCTGACGGTGGAATTTGTGGGGGATGAGGAAACTGAGGTTCAGAGAAAGTTGGTAACTTGTCCTGTCACACAGCCGGTGGAGGAGCCTGAACTTTGAAGCCATGCCTGCCTGACAGGGGAAGCCAGGCTCCCCAAAGCCCTGCCCTGAGCTGGGCTGCCAGCAGGGCTCAAGCTCAGGCACAGCAACAGGTTCCCTGTGGCAGCACCTCCAGCTGGAGGAGGTGGGCAGGGAACACAACACTGTCGGGTTAGAACAAACTTTTATTTTGAATGCTGGTCTGATCAGTCCATGGCCACAGGTCAGTGATAACTAGAAACAGTTGGAAGGAGGGGAGGGGACCAGCAGTCAGGAAGCAGGAAGAAAGGAGAGGGTTGGGAACAGGACAGGAAGGAGGCAAGGCTGAAGGACTCAGCCAGCGCAGGAACACATCCTGTCCTGTCAGCCCACCCTAAATTGAGGGCTTCAGTGCAGAGCTCAGTCCAGGCTGGTTAGGAGCCCACTTTGTCATTTCTGGCCTGCGCACCCCCTCCCCCATTCCAGGCAGCAATTCTTCCAGAGGACTAAATGCTCTGTGCTGGGCCTGGAAGATACCCCTGCACTATCCCCTACCTGCCCTCCCTGTACCCCAATCAGGGCTTCCAAACTTGAGTCTCAGGCTTGTCACTATTCTGCTCCTGTAGCAGCAGTGTGGGAGTGATGTGGTAGGGAAGGAGGAGTTCCAGTCCAGCCTAGCCCAGAGGACATCTCTGTAACCCCAACAGGAGGTACTAGAAAACATGCTCCTGAGCAGGCCCAGACCCAAGTCTAGTAACCAGTGCCCCTAAGCCCAGCAAAAAGCCACAGTCCAAGCCACAGGAGGTAGCTCCTAGGCAAGGTGAGAGCCTCCAGGTGGGGCAGATCAGCAGAAGCCAGGAGTAGCCCGGGACAGCCCAGGCAAACAGAGGATTGTCTCCAAGGGGAAAACTCATCAGCTGTCTTTGGGTCAGTGGCAAGGGTCAGAGTCAAGGATGGGGAGGGTCCTATAATCCAATCACTACTCCCCTCCACACATCTACAGGTTACAGCTGAAGAGCTTTGGGCATTACCTGTTTGCGGGTTTAAGGGGAAAAAGGGAGAGAAAGAAAAGGGGAAGCCACCATTTTCTCCCTGTTAAAATCCCCAAGTCCTAGATTGGGGATTCTCTGCTCTCACAGCAGCAGACACCGAATCCCAGGAGCCCCTCAGCCCAGATTCCAGCCCCACAGAAGAGGCCTGTGAGTGCCGAGAGGAGCAGTGAGACGGGAGGCGGGCTCCCTCAGCTCCTCACACCCTCTAAAGGCCCTGAGGATTCGCATGGAGACAGATACACAGCCCAACAGATGGGCGGGCAGGCAGGCAGGTGGGCAGCCAGTCATGGAGGAGAAAAGGAGAGAGACCGACAGGGCCCTGACTGGCGGCACTCCTGCACCACACACACACACACACACACACACACACTTAGAGACAGAGATATATAATAAAAGGAATAAAAACTAAGGGCCCAGATGTACAAAAAATGTGTGAGTGGGGAAGAAGGCAGGGAAGAGGATGGGAGGGCAGTCCTCCAGAAGTCGGCCGCCTTCCTCAGCTTATAAATTACAACCCCCTGGAAAATGGGGGTGGGGGGAGTAAGGAGGCTCCGGCTGTGGCCTGGGGGACGGCAGGTGGTGGTCAGAGCTGCTCTGCCCATCTGGGGGAGCAGTGGCCAGTGTGTGAGGATTCCTTGGGTGGTGGCGGGGGGAGGGGGGCGGGCAGGGGAAGATTCAGCAGCCACTGGCAGGAGTCACACAGGCCCCCTGGGACTTCACCTTGTGGCGCTGGCCCCCTCGTCGCCGGCCCCCGCTGCTGGGTTTGGGCTGAAAAAGAGAAAAAAGGAGCTTGAGAACTGCTGGTCCATGGGGAGCAGGGCAGGACAGCAGAGGGGCAGGGGCAGCAGGAAAAAGGGGACACAAGATGAGCAGGCAGGCAGTGTGGCCCTATCCCCAACCTGACCAGGAATTCACTAGGTGACCTTGCTCGCAGCACTTCGCGTCTGAAAAATGGAGCCCACCTTGCCCTCCTTGCAGGGTGGTGGGATGCATGTGAGTGATAAAGGTGTAAGGGGAAGCCCTTCAGAGAAGCACAAAGAAGAGCAAGAATCAACATTCACTGCTACTGACAGATGGAAGCAGAAAGGAAGTGAACGAACCAGAGGAAAGGTTCAATGGGAGAGAGAGCAGAATGGACAGAGAGATCCAGGCAGAAGCCACTTTCTCCAAAGAGGGGTCCGACAAGGGCAGAGGCCATGGGAAGATGAGTGCGAGGGAGTGCCAGACCTCATTAGGCCAGGAGAGAACTACTTTGGGAGATGCCAAGTCAGAGCAGCATTGACATAGCCCAAGGCCACTTCCCCTTCAGGATGTGTACATGTCAGGGAGGGGACACAGGAGGACCCTCTAACCTATTGGACTGCAGTGCACACATATATTGCTTCCCCACCCACAAACAATATGTACTCTTACTATGAAAGGAAAACCTTGACATTTTCCTATTCTATTTTACTTCATTAAAACCAAATTCTAATCAGAACCAATTAAATTGATTTATGTAGGCCACATCTCATAGTTTACAAAACACTGCCTTAAGAGATAAACAGTTCACACTTAGCAGCACTTACCTGCCAGAAGTTGGTGGAAAACACATTCTATCTATGCCTGAGGCTCTCCTCCACCAAATCAGAGTAACAGCCGCACCCCCTGCCACCCTGGTGCCACCCTGCCTGAGGCCATGGAGCCCACACTCACCTGCAGCTGGAGACTGCTTGCTGCAGCCGGCTGCACAGCCCCTAGAGAGGAAGCTTCATCTCCAGTGGGGAGTGCCCCTACCGCTGGCCCGCCAGACGGGCCCCCCTCTTCTCGTTTGGTCAGGGGGCCCTTTTTTGTTGACTGCATTTTAATCTGCTGGGGCTTGGAGTTCATTGGGGAGTTGTTGGTGGTCTGAAGGAGCTGTGGAGCCAAGGAGGTGAGGGTGAGGCTGGAGCTACAGGGCAGTGGCTCAGCTCAGCTGCCACCCCCGCGCCCCTTCTCTTGGGAACTCTTCATTGGCTGATCTGGCTGGCCTCGGGCGAGGCGGATGGCAGGAGGGCAATGACAGGAGGCAGTAGGGATGAGAAGTGTTTTCGTCCCCACTTAGCAGCCCAGGACTGCCATGGCCAGAGGCTGATGCCTCACTTCTAGCCTCTGCCCAGCCCAGAAAGGCTCTATCCTGTTCCAGCTGCTGTTCCAGCAGACAAATCTGTGAACCTGTCTGCCACCTCCCAGTCAGCCCAGTTCCCAGGCTGCCCAGAGCCTGGGGAGTTGAACTCAAAGCTCTGCTTCTTGCTAAGGTGGCTGAAACTCCTCAGAGTATCAGCTGCACCTCCAGCCCCCAGATCCTGCTGCTGCGCCTGTGATAAGAGACTGGGGCAAGTTTTAACTTCAGGTTTCTCTGGCTATCAGAAATCTTAAAAGCTACCACCCAGGAGTGACTGATTTGGGATGTTCCCTTGTGGCCTAAGTTCAATCTCAAACAAAGCAAGGAGGAGGCCAGCTAAGTCCCAGAGGACATCACAGGGTGTGCTGCAGCCTCCGCCAAACTCTCAGTCCCAGAGGCAAGCAGGCCTTTAAGGACATGACCTCCTCCCTACCCCCCACACATAAACACTGCACCCCAGGTTGACCACAGATGAGCCCAAGGAGGACCATTCTGGAGGAAAGGCCAGCCTGAGGCTGATTCCAAGATCTCAGACAGGTTCATGCCACTTCTTCCTCTGTTTGGAGTAAGGGTCAAACCACTCTATCAAATGCCCCTACCCAAAGCCATGGACGAGAACTGCAGAGGGCAAAAGGTGGGCTCCAGGACACACAAACAGCTCAAGCCCCAAGGGAACTCACACCCACTCCCCCTGCACTGTCCAACACTCACTGCAACCAGACCCACTGCTGTGAGGGGAGATCTCAGTTGCAGCCCCTGCCAGGCCACAGGAGTCTGTGCTGGCACCTGGGAGGCTGACCCTTGCTAGGCCTAGACACGCTGCCAGCATTATTTCCTACAGAGAAAGGCCATGCCCTAGTCTCACCTTCTCTCTTCCATGGTCACCACCAAAGCCTAGGATGAGAGGCCCAGGGACACCTCTCAGGGAGAGCGGAGAAGATGGCACCAAGGCCACACCTCTGTGCTAGTCCAGCTCTCCCAAAGCAGTGACTGTGCCTCTGCCCCTGGAAGTTAGGGAGACTCCTCAGCTTCTCAAGAAGAGCCTGTTGTGCTCATGCTCTCTAGAAGTGGAGTGGCCCCTGGTGCTTCCTGGGAAAAGGCAAGGAGGTCTGCCCCACCATACCTTGGTGATGGTGCCAACAGCCTTGGTGCGACCTTCCCGGAATACCAGCCGCTGGTCTATGTGCAGGTACTCAGGGGTCTTGATGAAGCGGAAGTGTACAGTGGCCTTGTCCCCAGTGCGCAGACAGTCCTTGTCCATGCTCAGAATGGTGGCTGTCTGCCTGATGCTCCCACAGTGCACTGCCAAGGGAGCAAGAAGGTCAGGACAGGCTTGAACCGCTCTGTGGCCTCGGCACAAGGGGAAGCAGCAAGAGAAAGCGTGAAATATGCTTGAGCTGTGGCAGTGTGGGGCTCATCTCCAGAGCTGAAGGCCTTGGGAGGCCTGCTCCTGGATCTGCTTCTGCCTCACACTCTCCCACCTTTTCCCACCCCCTGCCCCCACCCCCAGGCCCTGTACAGACAGGGGTCCTAGTTCCTGGAATTACAGGGCACTGTTTGCATGTATGCCCCCTCTCTGGACTGTGATCTCCTGGAGGGAAGGCCTTTGCCCATCTCATCTCTGCTCCCAGCACCCTGGCAACACCACTGGGCACACGGCAGTGTTCAGCAGATATTCACAAAAGGAATGAAGGTAAGGTCCTTGAGGACAAGTCTGGGTTTACAGCCCAGCCCCCAGTTAGTGTGTGCGGAACTGAATAAATGGCGCAGCTCGTGGTGGAACAGAGGGAATGACATCACTAAACTGGATGGTGAACTGCCTCTTGGCTGGAGCTGGAACTACAGTGCTTGGGTTGCTGTAGCACCTTTAGTGGGGAGTGAGAGTGGGGGCTTCCTGGCCTGGCAGGGCCTTAGACACCTACCCATGGCCTGGTAGCGTGGGCTAATCGTGGTGGGGTGGTGGAGGACGAGAATCTCAGCCTCAAATTCCCAGGAGGCTTGGGGATTCAAGCGTGGGGAAACCATCACCATGCCCTTCCGGATGGACGAGCGCTTGATCTGAAAGAAAGAGGGAACCCCAGAACTCAGGGACAGTGATGTGTTCTGGTTTCACCCTCTGGTCCTGGAAGAGGAGTCTTTCTAGGAATAGGAACAACTCCAACTCAGCCTTGTCCCCTTACCACACTGGACCTTCTACAGTGTACAGCAGGAGGCCGACTTGGTGCTATGTGAGAAGCCTTAACACTGCTACTTGGCGTAAGGAAAGGCTTCATGCAGGAGCTGGTACAACTCCAACTCAGCCTTGTCCCCTTACCACACTGGACCTTCTACAGTGTACAGCAGGAGGCAGACTTGGTGCTATGTGAGAAGCCTTAACACTGCTACTTGGCGTAAGGAAAGGCTTCATGCAGGAGCTGGTATTTTAGCTGCTGGGCCTTGAAGGATGGGTGATGAGGCAAGGGAAGTCAAGTATTCAGGTGGCAGGAACATGGTGAGCATGACCTGACCACTGGAGGGAATAAAGTCCCACTTTTCCTGGCTAATTTGGTTGGTGGGGAAGGTAGGTGACCCCAAAGCTAGAACTCGCCCAAACCCCATGAGAAGGCCGAATGAGAAGAGGATTTTTTGCAGACCTCAATGGCCCTAAGTAGAAGAATCCCCTGCACAGAAGGGACACTCCTATCTGACCTCACTACTGAGCTCAGGGCACTATGCTCAGGCACTACAGGGAGAAAGAGTTTAGGAGGCAGGCAGTCCTGGTTCAAGCCCTGGTTCTAGCACTGTGTGTTTTGGGCAAGTCACTGGACTCTCTAAGCCTTGGTTTTCCCATTTGTAAAAGTAAGGTCAGTATCCTTATCTTGCAGAGCAGTCACCAGCACTGGAAATGGCGAGTAAAGCATCAGACCCAGAGTCCAGCATAATGGAGCCTGAGGGGAGTCTTTAGTATTATCGACACTCACCTTCTTCAATGCGAAGGAAGCTGTCTGGCCCCCCCGCACCTCCTTGACAGGCATGCGCTTGCGATGGATGGATTTGACAGCAATGGACAGGAAGTTACCCAGAGGGTCTGGGCCCAGCAGCAGTGTGTCATTCAGCTTGATCAGGCCCCTCAGTGTTGTTCCTGACACCACTGTGCCCACACCCTGCCAAGGAGAAGACCTCAGCCCAGTTAGTCCATCCCCAATACAGACACACCCCGTGATGCCCCTGTAGGAAATGCCCACCCAGCCACCTACTCTGCTCAGTCCCACCAGAAGCCACTTACTGGGACAGAGTAGGTGTCATCAATCTGAAACTCAGCAGGCTCTTCCTCCCTGTAGCTGGTGCGGGGGGAGAGGAGGTTGAGGAACATCTTCAACAGATCTAGGTTCTCGCCTGTAACATTGGAGATCTGGAATATCGGGCACATCCTAAGTTGAAGGGGAAGAAAAAGGAGAGAGGAGCTAAGGTGGTCAGCTCCTGCCCCGCCACACGCTGGGAACTGCAAGAGTACTCTAGGAGCAGATGCCATTGCTAATGACCCCACTTCTCCTTCACCTGCCTCTGAGGGCTTGACTCTTAAGCCCTTGACCTAGCAACTACTAGCAAGAACTGCTACAAGGCCTTCTCCTCTTACTGAGTTTTGTCTCTGACACCTGTCCCTTCCTCTCTGTCCCTCCATCACTGCCCTACTTTGGAACCTCACGACTGCCTCTTCTTCCTCAAGCATACACATCCTTGCTTAAAATCCTTAACCGTCTTTCCACTGCAGAGAAGATAGCCCAAATCCCTTCTCCCAACATTCACGGCCCTTCACACTCGGGCTTATAGCCATCTTTGCACATTCATTTCTCTCGAATTCCTATATTCTAACCATACCAGAGAAACTTCCATTCTCCTAAAAGCTTGGCACTTTCTTGCTCCCATGGATTTGCTCACTCTGTTTCTCCTTCCTGGATTCCTTCCCTTTTATCCAACTTCCAAACCTTTCTCATACTTCAGAGCCCATCTCAACCCCTCTGAGTTCCTGGAGAGCTTTTCATGTCTGTTACACATGACTCCATCTGATTTTCCATCAGTCATCTAAATGGCCTGTCTCTCCTATTCAGGGTGAATTAAACTTCTTGAGATCAGGAATTATATATTCCCCATAACTCCTAGAAATAGTGCCTGCACAGAATAAGCATGTAAAAATGTGAATGAGCTAAAATGGGGCTGTCTAAAAAGTGCCCTCTGCTGGCCATCTGGTGCTGCCGAAGAGAGCATCAAGGTAGAGGCACGGGCAAAAAAGCCAGGCTGCTCTGGGTCTTGCACCGTAGACCAAATCAGGAGGCAGACTGCTTCTAAGAAGGCCTGGGCTCTGGGCGAAGGAGCAGAGTTAGCAAAATTCACTACGAACAAGAGAAGCTCTGACCAAGGAGCTGAACACCTTGAGGACAAGGACTGGGTTCATGTCAACTATGAATCTTCAACATCTAAATGAACAGCCAGGCAGAACAAACATCAATAAATATTTATGGAATGAAAGGATACATTATTGAGTAAATGTCAAAATTGATCTGTGATTACAGGGCTTTTGAGAAACAACAGTACAAAAAAATTAATAATTACAGCTATAAAAATGGCCATGTATTTATCATACACCAACCAGGCACAGCGCTAAGTGCTTTACATAAATCATTTCCAAAACTCACGAGAGCCCTATGGGGAAGGTAATATTATTTCCATTGCACAGAGGAGGACACTGAAAACTCACCTGGAATTCCAACCTCAGGGAGACCAGGATCTCAGAATCTGGGTCACCTGATATAGCCCCTGGGGCAACACTGCCGACATGGGAGACCTCATTCTGAGACCAGAACCTTCTATTTCCTCCAATCTCTGAATGGTGAGAGGTGTTCTGATGTGGTGTTTCCATGAGACCTCATAAACTGACAGTCATTCCAGGCCTATCATTTGCTGCGGCCCTCCAGGCTCCGCACCCATTACCTTTCGGAGCTGAAGTTGGAGGCTGTAACAATCACATCATCCTTGCTCTGTACCAGCACGGGGATCTTCCGGCAGCCTGGTGACTTCAGCAGGCGCTGTAATAGCTTCAGGGTTTCTTAAAGGGTGAAATGGAACAGAATTAGAGGACATAGCCTTCTCTTTGGCCAGGTTTCCAGGGCAAGATGGGTCCGTTCATTACTGATGCAAGCAGGAAACAGACTATGACAGATGGACCAGTTTAAATGCCACAATGCCTGGAGAAGCAAAAAGCAAGATCAAAACTTTGGATGGGAATGTGAGAGAAAAGAGAGAGCACAGACAGGGCCTGTTTTCTAAGGCTGTGAGTCTGAAAAACCTATTTCTCCATGGTCTTTAGAGGACCTGCATACTGTAAGCAAGTGCCTTGGGGGATCCTGAGAAGGACAATGTTCTTCCCAGAATGCACTGCTTCCTGGAAAAAAAATCTCATCTGACAAAAGGACCTGCAGACTTCTAACTGTCCAGGAGAGGTCTTTATGAGGCCTTCCAAAAGAATACCTCTCTACTTCTCTTCTATAATCTGCAGCAGTGAGGGAGAAATGCACAAAGGTCTAGTCCTGCAACCCTGTGTTGAAGCTTTAGTGGTAAAAGGTAATTAGATCTTCTGCCCAAACTTTTCCAAACACATCCAGCTTAGATGGTAGAACCCAATTCCATCTGACTGGGATCACCTGAAAAGAGGTGCCAGATTAGGGATCTCAAGGATCCTACACTTGGAACCATAGGCATACAGATCAGAGGATAATGCTGAGCTGTGCTCAGAACAAGAGCTAAATAGGGAAGGAAGAAGCAGAAGATACCACCAAGGAGGCACAGTGGGTGACGGCCCCAAACAGAGAAGCTGCTGCTGACTAGAGGCTTCACTTACCTTGCAGGATGTTGGCAGGACACATATCAATCTTGGTGACTACAACAAAGACAGGTACATTGAGTGCTAATGCCAAGCCCAGGTGCTCCTTGGTCATCCCCACGATGCCAGCATTGCTGCCTACCTGCCCCAACACAGAAAAGAACTGTCAGGACAAGAGAGACAGAGATTGCTGGTGTGTGGGGCAAAGGGCCTCAAAGAAAAAAGCTGTGCTGGGCACAGATTACTTTAATCCCTGACTCAACGATGTGGGCTATCAAAATCTGAGGAGACTTGTAAGCAATAAAAAAGACAAACCCAGACAGTTTGGGAAAAATAACTGCCCAGAGTCATCAAAGAGGATTCAGCTTAACATCCCTGGCCCTCAGTTTCCCCATCTGTAAAATGGGGGGATAACAATATCCACTCTAGAAGGTCACTTGAAATTTAAATGCCATAACATATATGAAGGGTCCGGCAGAGAACCAGCATGAACTAGGTGTTCAAGTAATGGCAGCTGTTATTACTGTTACTATTCTTCCTTCCAGTAACAATAAGTGGTTTTATTTTTGTTTTTTGGCAGCTAGAGAGAATAAATGTTTTGAAATATCACAATAAAGATTACTTAAAAGAAATTAGGGCACATGCTCAAAACGTGCCACACACAAGAAAAAGGAAACTCTTTATCTACTGATATGGGGTAATCTCTAATATATGTTTTTAATGGAAATAAATAGCAAGGTATATTCCAAGGTCCAAGGTTTAATCCCTGTACCAGCCAGCCGCCACCAAAAAAAAAAGTAAGGTGTAGATAGTATGCTACCATAAAAAAGTGAGTGATTGGATCACTGTCTTAAAAAAAAGAAGCTGTAAGACATTTGGGGAATATCTGAGATAATGTAAATACAAACTAGATACTAGAGACTATTAGGGAACTATTGTTCATTTTCTTGGTTACAGTAACAGTAGAAGACAGACCTCAGTTTTAGAAGTATTTGGGGGTAAAGAGTCACAATGTCTACAACCTACTTTCAAATGATTCAGTCAAAAAATAAAGAACACCCAAACAAAACATATATACATATATGCATCCATCACGTATACAAATATGGCAAAATGTTAATAATTGCTGAATTTTTTTTTTCCTTTTTGTCTTTTTTACTGACCAGTAACGGGATCGCAACCCTCGGTGTCGCGCCCGCACTGGGGACCGGCAACGGGATCACAACCCTTGGTGTTGCGCCCGCACTGCGCTCAGCCAGTGAGCGGGAACCGGTCTCCACATGGGATCCGAACCCTCGGCGGGAGCGCCGCCACACTCCCAAGTGGCGCACCCTCCAGTGCACCACTGGGCCGGCCCAATAATTGCTGAATTTATTTTTGGTTTTTTTTGTTGTTGTTGTTGTTGTTGTTGTTTTGTTTTTTCCCTGACCGGTAAGGGGATCACAACCCTCGGCACGGTGTGGTCCGCACCACGCTCAGCCAGTGAGCGCACCGGCCATCCCTATATAGGATGTGAACCCACGGTCTCGGCGCTACCAGCGCCGCACTCTCCCGAGTGAGCCACGGGGCCAGCCCAATAATTGTTGAATTTAAGTGGTGGGTTTCTGGTATTCATTATACTATTCTTTTAACTTTTCTGAATGTTTGAAATTGGAGGTAGAAAATGTATAACACATTTGCTTGTATGAGTATAAAATATCTCTGGCAGATACACAAGAAACTGGAAATACTGGTTGTCTCTAGGAGGAAACTACACAGAGAAGGAAGGGAGACTTTTCACTATAAACCATTTGGTTCCTTTTTATTTTTGTACCATATGATTGTATTACTTACCAAAACAAAAATTACCATGATGTATTTATATAGTGCTCACATTCCAGAGTGTCTTCACTAAGATGCTCTCATTTGATCACCCCAGCTCACAGGTGAGTCACCACCCCACTGACACAGCTGACCCAGGCCTGACTGTGTTCCTTTTTCCTATACCAGGACACCTCCATGATCTTCCTCCTAATAATTCCCATGTCCTTCAACCACCTTTCCAATTCAACCCAGACTTGCTTTGTTCCCAACCTGGATAAGAGAGAGCTCTAACACTCTGTGGTCTATATATTTTAAATACTTTTTTCCTGGAAATTAATTGCCATGGAAGAATAATCAAATATTTCATTTTTTTCAACAGAATTTTTAAGATTTGTTTGGATTATGGACTTATGGAAAGTCAGATATGAACATTTTGTCTGGGGTGAAGATATTTCCATTAATTGGTACTGATCACTGTAGCTCAGTTAGAAAAACATTTTAAAAAAAGGTGACTGGTAAGGGGATCTTAACCCCTGGCTTGGTGTTGTCAGCACCACGCTCAGCCAGTGACCAAACTGGCCATCACTATATAGGATCCGAACCCGTGGCCTTGGTGTTATCAGCACTGCACTCTCCGAGTAAGCCATGGGCCAGCCCTAGAAAAACACTTTAAACTGGTTTCTATACCCTTCTTATTACCAACTCAACAACTTCCCCAAATATCCCTGTGGATCTTCCATTGAGACCCCTTCCTGGAGAGCTTTTCTTAGCTCAATCAAGAAAGTTGGTAATAGCCCTTTGCAATGTTTAATGAAATGGGAGATGAACTCATGCTGAGATCCCAAGAACCCTAGGCAGAGAGCCAACAAGAGTTCTGCCTCTCTTTATTACTCTCCAGTTTGGGGAGAATTTTCCTGAGAACCTGTGTTTGTGGGGCAACTTGATCAAGTTTGCTATTAACAGATGCTGTGTTTACTACCCTTCTTAATACAGGCAGCTAGAGGAATTGGGAAATGGAGAAAGGGTTTGGGAAGGACTTGCCAGAGGAAAACTTGCTCATTCACACATGTGCACTCTCGCTCCCTCTCTGTAAAAACTGTGAAGCTACGCACAAGGTTGTGGGCCTCACCACTCCCACTCAATATCCAGAGAGGAAGATCAGTGGGACACAAATGCAAAGCTGGCAAGAGGATCCAACACAGAGCCCTCTGCTTCTTTTGCTTTTCAGGTAATGTACATGACAAGCTACTTAAAAACCTTAACACATAGACTATAAGCTCTCCAGGAGCCCTAGGACAGCCCTGATCACTGCTGTATCATCAGGCTAGCAAGGGCCAGGCATGCAAGCGCCTCACAACAAGGGCTTGTGCACTGGCTGATACCCCTCCCAGGCTCTGGAAGAGGTCACATCTCAGGCCCTCCTGACTGCGGCTTGTACCCACTTATGGTGCTCTCCTCCATTTCTTCCCCAACTCTCTAAGGGTGCCACCTGGTGCTACCTCCTCAAGCAGCCGAAGCCTCTGGGGAAAACATTTCTGAAAGTAATAAGTAAGCCCCATAAGACACCCTCCTCTGTGCCTTTCCCCAGAATAAGAGAGGTCTGCAAATGGCACTTTACCAAGAGAATCCCTGCCTGGTTCAATGTACGGGAGAGATCAAGGTTCAATCCTTGATAAGAGAGTAGAGCTCAGAGGACAGGGCAGCCCTGCAAAACTTGCCATCCTTACCCAACATCAAAGCCCCCCAAACCAACAGGCCTCAATCTCAGAACAATTTCAAACACTTGCACATAACCACACCCCAACCAGCTCTGATGAAGCCTTCCCTACTGAAGTGCACCTCACACTTACCATGAGCATACAGAAGTCAGGCAAATGCCCAGTCATGCCAAAGACAGTGGTCTTCAGGTACTTCTCATGGCCAGCCAAGTCGATGAAGGTAATAACCTTAGTGGACTTCTCACAGATCTTTGTCCACTCCAGGCTGCCACCATGGCTGTCGGGCTTGTTCACCACATTGCCTTCACTGTCAAAGCCCAGAATGTCGTTGCCCACACTGCTGGTGCGACCAGATTCAATCTCATGTTTGTGGCGGAAGAGTTTCTGGCGGGCAAAGCCTCGGCCATTGTCCAGCTCCCCATGTGTCAGGACCCCCAGAAGCGTGCTTTTGCCGGCATCCACGTTGCCCACTACTGCTACCCTGCATGTACATGAACAGACCCATACATCCATGTGAGAGTTAGTGAATGAGCGAGGTGAAGAGACAACTCGGAACCCCAGTACCTGGATCTGTAAGTCCAGGCTCACCCCTGAGCCCTTCCGGTTCACTGCTCCTCCTGTTCCTGAATGAGCACATTGGGAATATTCCTGGAGCTGTATCCAGGCAGCACAAAGAGCTATTCAGGAGGAACTAGGCTCCCACAATGGCTCTTCTCCCTTAACTTCCACTGGTTTCTCCAATGCTGCCAGGAGGAGCCCCAAAGCCACAAGAAGCACAAAATGCTCTCTTCCATTTCCCTGGTTTTTAGACTTGCAAGCTGATGGGAAAACTACAAACCACAAAATGGCCACAGAATGTATAGCTGGCCCCTCTCCCATTCTTCCCAAATGGAACTATAGAGGGACAGGGAAGTACAGAAATAGAGAACAGAGCAATCATGTCCCTGGACACTCTTTCCACACCTCAGGAAGGGAAGGTGGGGCTGGCATACCGAGTGTCACAGGCTCAATCACCATTTTTTGTAAAGCACTAGACCATGCAGTGGGGGACCCCTGAACTATTGTGAGGCCTCCTCACCTGACCTCCAGGAAGTCATTGTCTCCTACTCGTTTCCGGACCAGGTAATCACGCACACGGCCCCCAGCTTCTTGACGTTCTCGCAGGAGGATGACGTCGGCCTCTATCTGTTCCGCCATGCTCTTCACTGTGGCGTACGAGGCCTCCATGTCAGCTTCACTCAGCCCATACTCAGTCCCATCTGGTGACAAGAGCCCAGACATCAGCAAGAAAGGGGTTCCTGACCAACCAGCCTGCCAATAAGCCAGCGCATCAACCCCACCTAACAAAGGCCCAGCTGGGCACTGGAGAACACAGTGTTCTCTTCTTGAGAGATAACCTGAGTGCACACAGAGTTAAGATATAATAGTACCATGGGCTTCTTCATCAAGCAGGGCACTTATTAATTCACTCAACAACAATTGCTGAGACTATCCTAAGTTTTATGCCAAGCCTCATGCCGGCCACTGGCAATACAGATGTCCTTAGCAAGCTCACAGCCCAGCAGGAGAGGTAGACAGGAAACTAACTAACCACAATACAGCTTGACTGTTGTACTACAGAACCATATGAAGAGAATGTAAAGCATTGCCTGGGGAAGCCGAGGGCAGCTTTGCTGCAGGAGAGGTAGACAGGAAACTAACTAACCACAATACAGCTTGACTGTTGTACTACAGAACCGTATGAAGAGAATGTAAAGCATTGCCTGGGGAAGCCGAGGGCAGCTTTGCTGGGTGCTGACTCCAAGCTGGGTCTCCATCTATGAGAAATGAATGACCCTGCAGAGGAAGGAGGAAGGACATCCTAGCCGGAAGAACAAATCATGGCGCATGGCAGATTATGACACACTCAGGGATCAGGAAGAAGCTCAGTGTGTTGGGGAGCAGGATGGGTGACGTTGAGTGATGGGAGACCACATGAGAGGTGGAAGCTGATACGGCAGACAGACATCAGATAGCAGCAAGACATCTTTTGTAACCAGGCAGTGGGAAGCCTGGGAGGTTTCAGCAGGGGGTAATACCATCACACTGCTGTGGGTTAGAAGAGCTCCTGGACAGCAGTAGAGAGCATGCAATGGCAAGCAAGAGACCAGAAAGGGGGAGCCCAGTTAGGAAGTAATTCTAATAACCTAGGCAAGAGATAATGAGGACAGGAAGATGAAGGAAAATGGTGAGAGGATTTAAGAATTATTTTAGAGATGATTTTTTTTTTCAGAGGCTGGCCAGTATGGGTATCTGAACCCTTGACCTTAGACTTATCAGCACTGCACTCTCCCAAGTGAGCTAACCAGTCAGCCCTTTCAGAGATAATTTTTAACTGAGGTGGCTCAGATGAAATATCCAGTAAGCAGCTGGAAAAATGAGTTTGAGAGCTCAAGATGAGGAAGGGAATCAGACAGAAGGATGGACCTACCAACCAGTTACTGAGCACCTACTGTATGACAACCCCCTCTCAGGCACTTTCCCAGTGTTGTCCATTTCATTTGCATAATCACTCCCTCAGCCTTTCCCCAGCCATCCTGCTTCAAAAAGCGCCCCTGCTCCTTCCCTAGGCTAACCCCTCCTTGTGCATGTGCAACCTTCTTCTCTTTTGCTACCTCTGAAAGACCCTGCAGCATCAAGTATTCTTCTTGTCTCCTCTTCCTCTGCCTCCACTTCTTCTCCTACAAACAAGCTCAAGTCACTCCTAAACTAAGAAAAGGAAAACCACCCCTCCTGCCTTGCCCCTGCTTATCTACTGAGCAACCATCTCCTCTGCTTTTCCTTTACCACCACCATCTCAAGAGTAACCAACATTTGTTGACTGTGTCCCCTCACCACCTACTCACCCTGAACCTAACAACCCTAGAAGAAATGCAGCTTTCAAACATCATCTATGGCTTTCTAGCCATTCTATCCTATGCCCTTTTCTTGACCCCTACAGCATTTGACACCACCCACCACCTGCCTTTCCTTCTCGAAGCGCTTCCTTCCCAAAGCGCTTCCTTCCCACCCTGCTCATCCATCACCTGACCTCTCCTGATATGGCCCCCACCCCCTTCTTGTCCCCTGAATGCCAGTCTTTTCCAGTAGTCCATCAGTGGACTACTGATGTCTCCTCTAAACTTTCCCCTTGGCCATTTCATTCTATGCTTTCAACTGTCATTTTGAAAACTGTAAAATCATTTATAGCACCATCTTCTTAAAAAAAAAAAAAAAAAAAAAAAAAAAGTGGAATAAATAGAACCCAAAGAGGTCTCAGAGCTGGGAAGAAGCAGAGGGGCCATGGGAGCTCAGGCCTTCGGATTCCAAACCTAGAGTCTTTTCCTCCAGCAAGAGTTCTTCTCAATGCCCAACCAGTCCCTCCTCTCGCCTTCCCTATTTCTGATAATGACAATACCATCCTCCCAGTCACCTAAGCTTAGCACTCTCATCAGTCCAGTCCTGCTGATTCTAACTTTTTATCTTGCCCTTCTTTCTCTGCTACCTACACTTTCTGCCAATCCACTGCCACCAGCCTGATTACAGGCCCTTATTCTACCTGAATCACCACAACAGACTCTTAACTGGTCTTAGCAAATCCGGTCTCTACTCCCTCCAACCATCCTGCAGAGACCCACATATTTAATGTCACAGTTCTGACATTGTCATTTCTGGGTCAAAGCCTTTGAATGGCTCCCCAGGCCCAGCAGCATTCCTCCCCAGCCCCACATCCTTTAGGGCCTCTGCCATTTACTCCACACCCCTTCCTTCTTCTCCCCTTGTAAGTTCTGTCCCAGAGCAAGTGGCCCAGTCACAGCCCCCTCCACCCATGTTCCCTGCATGGTCCTAGCTCCACACCCTTACTAATGGATTTCCTATCCTGGAAAGCCCATCAGTGTACCTCCTTCTGTCAAAATCTTATTGGTTCTGTTCAGAGGCCCCACAAATGTTGGCTCTCCCTTACAGCATTTACCATGTACTGCTTTGTATAATAGTGTTTTGGATACATGTTCTGCCCGACAACACATTAAGTATCTTGAGGACAGAGATCATATTTCAAACATTCCCTGATGCCCTAGGAGGGGTACATTCCCTATATCAAGTCCTCAAATGTCTGTAAAATGCAAAACAGAAGAAGAAAGAGGGGGCAGTTGGGCTGAGGAGTTTCTAAATGCATGGCCAAGTGAGCTCTGAAAACATTCTGGGTTAGAGAAGGGCTTGTTGGAAGTGTTTCTGAGAGAAGCCTGACTAACCCTGCCATTCCTGCCAGACACCCCAATATTATCCAACTTCTGTATAATGAAAAGCAGTGCCTTCAGGTCCTGCTTCACACCAGGGGCCATCACCAATGTCACCTTGTCCATCAGGGCTCTCAGTCAGTCATATAACCCTTCTCCAACATGCGTTGCATTCCTCATTATGTAGGAGTGGAGACAAAGGCCAAGGAGAAAAGCTGCAGAGGTCTAGTTACTAGTTACTATATTCAGCCAGGCCCAATCCTAATCAGATTTCCATCCTGCCAGCTCATTTACTTTTCCTATATACATTCTCCTACTCAACATGCTGCAAAGGCTCCCTGGATTTTTAGGATCTGGGCTCTACATACCTACCTGTCCAGCCTCCCCTCCTGCCACTCCTCACCTCACACAGTTACTTCTTTTTTTATTTTTAAAAGATGACCGGTAGGGCCGGCCCGGTGGCGCACTAGAGAGTGCACCGCTTGGGAACGCAGAGGTGCTCCCGCCGAGGGTTCGGATCCCATGTGGAGACCAGTTCCCGCTCACTGGCGGAGCGCGGTGCAGGCGCGACACCGAGGGTTGCGATCCCGTTACCGGCCAGTAAAAAAGACAAAAAGGAAAAAAAAAAAAAGATGACCGGTAAGGGGATCTTAACCCTTGACTTGGTGTTGTCAGCACCACATTCTCCCAAGTGAGCGAACCGGCCATCCCTATATAGGGATCCGAACCCGTGGCCTTGGTGTATCAGCACCACACTCACCCAAGTGAGCCACGGGCCGGCCCTGTCACTGGGTTACTTCTGCTTGACCAAATATTCCAGTCTCCAATGCCTCCATGCCTTTGTGCAGGTGGTTTTCTCTGCCCGCTCACTACTGCTTCCATTTCCCTGGAAAACTCCTACTCATCCTTTAGAATCAATTCAAGAGGCAGCTCCTCTTTGCAGCCTTTCCTAACTTCCCCACAAAGACTTAACGCTCCTGTGTCCCTTGAACTCTTGATATAGTACCTGGCTCTTAGAAATTCATGGCTTAGTATTTGGGAAACAAACAAGGTTCTTTTTAAAAAAAATTTCATGGGGGCCGGCCCGTGGCTCACTCGGGAGAGTGCGGTGCTGATAACACCAAGGCCACGGGTTCAGATCCTATATAGGGATGGCCGGTTCGCTCACTGGCTGAGCGTGGTGCTGACAACACTAAGCCAAGGGTTGAGATCCCCTTACCGGTCATCTTTAAAAAAAAAAAAAAAATTTGTAAATCAACTACAACTTGAGACCCTTAAAAATTACTATTGCAACTATTTATACTAGTTAACATTTATATAGTGCTTACTATATGCCAAGTGATTTCCTTGAATTCTCATTTAATCTTCTCTATTACACCATAGGACGGATTCTATTATTATCCCTATTTCAAGACAAGGAAAAGAGTCAATAGGCAAACCCAGACCCGCGAGGCTACAGACCCTAAACTACTAGGCCATATTGCCTCCTTTTAAAATATTAACCTTAAATTAAGAATGTATACTTAAGGGGCCGGCCCGTGGCTCACTTGGGAGAGTGCGGTGCTGATAACACCAAGGCTATGGCTCGGATCCCTATGGATGGCCGGTTTGCTCACTTTGGAGAGCCTGGTGCTGACAACACCAAGTCAAGGGTTGAGATCCCCTTACTGGTCATCTTTAAAAAAAAAAAAAAGAATGTATACTTAAAGAGTACATTGCTCAAGGCCGGCCCGGTGGCGCCCTCTCCAGTGCGCCACTTGGGAGCGTGGTGGCGCTCCCACCGAGGGTTCGGATCCCATGTGGAGACCAGTTCCCGCTCACTGGCTGAGCGTGGTGTGGGTGCAACACCGAGGGTTGCGATCCCGTTGCCGGTTGCCGGTCCCCAGTACGGGTGCGACACCGAGGGTTGCAATCCCGTTACCGGTCAGTAAAAAGGACAAAAANTGCCGGTCCCCAGTACGGGCGCGACACCGAGGGTTGCAATCCTGTTACCGGTCAGTAAAAAGGACAAAAAGGGGAAAAAAAAAATAGTACATTGCTCTGCATTGCTTAGAATTTTTTAATGTCTAATTTATCCATGTAAAATTTCTCTGAGGTAAGGTGGGGAACATGTCATTATCACCATTTTACTGAGGAAGGAATGATAAACAGAAGTGAAACACCAAGGACACACAGAAAGTCAGTGATGAACCTGACCCCTGGGAGCCTTGCATCTGGTTTACTCCTCTGATGTTCAACCTGTTTAACTAGTTATTATCTCTTTCTGCCTCTAAAGAATTCCAGCAGGAAGGAGTCACTATGAATCCATAGCATCCAACTGGTAGATGCAAAGATAATGCACAGGTGCGTAGGAGATGTGTTAATGAATGCCTGACATCTTTCGCTTTGCCACAGAGAGTTAATTAGTTGTGAGTTGCCAAGGCATGGTAAAATTCATTGAGTCCAATTAAAGGATAAGGGAAAGAGGAGGTCATAAGAATGTGGGTCTTCAAAGAATAGTATTAACACTTTTCAAAAGTGACATATGTGGTTTCTAAAATTCTACAAGCATGAAGTAATCTTTGACTGGTTCATCTTATTACAGCAGGCCAGATGTGTACCTGACATAAAAGACTTCAAAAGGCTATCAATGATCTCCTAGTCACCAAATGGAATGGCTTTTTTTGAACTTGACACTCATTGCTGCCTCTGTAGCACTTGACAAAGCTGACTAACTCCCTGCCTTTCTTGACATGCAACCTCTTGGCTTTCCTATCTCTCTGACCAGCCCTTCTTTTAGGTTAGAAGGCCCACAACTGGGGAGGTGGCAGCAAGGATGGGAAGGACAGATATGACAGACATTTCAAAGGAAGGTACAGCAGTATTTGGAGCTCAAACCCTTCTTCTTGTGTCACTTGCAGTATTTCCAAATATTATTGTCCACCGAGATTATTTGTATCTATGTCATCTTTCCTCCTTGAGGTAGGGACCAGATTGTAAGTATCCAAAAGAATTTTGCAACAGTATAAAGCCTTAGAAAATACTTAGTAAATACGTGTCAGAGTTAAAGAATGATTTTGAGATTTCCTCTGTCTTAAACTCGGACAACAAAATTATTGCCTGACTTACAAAGCCTACATTCAGAAAAGAAAACTGTTCTTTAAATGATGCATCCAGGCCCACTCTGGGCTTCCTGCAAGATGACAGAGAGAAGAGCTGGTACAGTCGGAATTCATAATTGTAAACAAATCTCAGCTGTCATTTCAGCAAAGATAGTGTCATAATAAAGATGAGGGTAAGTATGCTTTGTATTGAAGGTTAAGCTAGGAGCAACGAGGGGTTAAAAAAGCTCATGTCATAATCTGGGATCTGTCATGGGAGCCACCATCCTCTAAAACAGTGGGCCCCATTATAATGAATAAGCAGGTTGGAGGACAATAACCAGTCCTTCCCAGAATGGTTACAAGCCTACATGTCTGACAGGATCTAGCGGGGAGAGAAGAGGACCTCTGTTATCACAGTTATCCAGAATGAATGGTCAGTGTGGTCTAAGGCAAGTCAGCCTAAGTGAAGAAGTCTGTAGTCTTTTCCTTGCTGACATCAAGAAGAATCAAAACCGTCTTCTGCTAAGCAGGAAGTAAGTATCTGTAAACAGGGCCTGGAGCTGCCCAGGACAGGCTTAATTCTAGACCTAACTATAACTTGCTCTAATACCTTGGACAAGAAGTTTCCTTGCTTTGTGCTGCATTTCCTTTTAAGCAAATGTAGAATACTGGAGGTAGAAAAGAAGTACCTGTAAAACTGCTTGGAAAGCGCATCTTTAAAATTAAGCATATTATGACCACTAAGGCAGGAATTAACATTTACTTTTATGTCTTCCAAACAGTTCTGCAGATACTAAAGAATCACTGCAACTGAGACACATGAGCAGGAAAGTTAATAAAGGGGGAAAATGTGCTCTAAATAATTTTTAAAAATATAGTGAAAGAAAAACTATGCTCACCTGATCCCTGCCCAATGACATATATGGTCTCTCCGCATCCCTCGTCCATCCTCTCCCACATCTGCCGAAGTAGGCTGTCATACTGCACTGATGAGGGGCTCACTAGAACCAGCTAGAAAAGAAACCAACAGCCTCAGGACCACACTTACTAGATAAGCACCACAGCCAAAACTCATCAATGGCCTGACCAAAGACCGTGTTGATTAAACCCCACTGTACCCTAATCTAAAATAGCTACACAGCCCCATCATGTGTTCTCTGTCTCTCCTTAAATAAGCTTTGAGCCTAAGTAAGGCTTTATATGAGCTATATGATATACTAAAGTAAGTATGTCTGAGCCACGACCCACAGTAAAGAGGGGTGTGAGCAGCCTGCCTCCTGCTGTCAAGAAGGGAAGGACCTAAATGGCTGAGAATCTGGCATTGTAGGTAGAAAGTGATGAGCAGTGCTTTACATCTACATGCTTAAGTCTTCTCTACCTGCAACTGCATCTGGAAACTCACAGGACAGAGATCTCATATACTGCCATGCCTCTACCTACAGGCCAATGGCTCCCAGAATAACAAAAGAATTGTTCCATCTTTCCTTAGCTATCTTGATTACTTGGGATACAGCAGTGAAAACTGTCTGCAAGACTCATCTTCATCAATAAAACACTGTTACCATTAAGGTGAGAATAAGCACCATCATTCTGCAAATTTCTGTCAATCACATTAAAATAATGTGATTATCTGGGGAGGCCATTTACCAATAGGTGCATCAGACCCCACTCTCTAACCACTCCTGTGTGACCTTGGACAAAGAACTTAACCTGAGTCCCAGTTTTTCAATTTACAAAATGATAATACTACCTGCATCTTAAGACAACTGTAAAACATGTAAAGCATATTTCACAGCTCAATAAATGGTAATTACAAAGTTTTTTTCACCCAATTATTCCTAGAAAAATCTTCCTGAATGAAACTACCCACCACTGTTCACTAACTGTTTCTCCCTTTGGAGGCTCTGGGAGCCTTAGGACCCCGCACTTAATTGTAATAAGTATATAAACTTCTAATCTTTTCCTCAGGCATCAATCTATTCAACCCATCCCTTCTCTCTTTCCACATTATCAGTTTTTCTTTTCAGTATCATCAATATTTATATACATACAGCTTCTCAATTTCAAAAACACGAGGAGGACTTCCTCAGCTATGTGATGAAGTAACACTTCCCTATCCAGGAACATTAAATAAACTGGTCAGGAAATGAAGGTACTACCCTCCTTGCAACTCCGCCCTGCAATTTCCCACTGTGTTTTCAGGTTTCTTCAGCACCTTGACCATGTGTTGACATCCAGCTCCTTTGTTTTTGAGTCAGGTGCACATCTCATAACTTCCTGAGTTGACTCAGAGCTTCTAATTGTAACCTGGATGCTGCCTGGGTCTTCTATATTATGTCACATTGCCTCACATATCTTCCCTGACCATTCCTCTCTCTCCAAGCTTGGCCATCTTCCTTAGGGCATTAGACACCAGACAGGACTACTGTTGACTAGCAGGAGCTAACTAGCTTCCAACTGTTCAGCTGAGACTAGAAGCAGAAAGAGCAGCTGAAAAATTGGTTGCTTAGGTTGCAGAGAAAGTTCTCCCCCATTTAAGGCTAAGTTTCATGCAGTTTTGCCATCATAAACTATGAAAAGTCACAAACATTTTCAAAGCTCCATGAAATCTCTACAGAAACTATCCTACAACAGGTAGGAGGTGGTACTGGTGTTCTATCTTCCATCGGCTGCTATTTAATCCACACAGGGAATTATTAGCTATGCAGTTCACTTCAAACTTTTACCGAGTTTCTGTATCAGGCACTATACTAGGTGTTTTCATATACATTTCTAATTTTTACAATGCATCTGAACTTTCTTAAGATGAGGCTGGGGAACTGAGAGGTTAAGAAATTTTCCCAAGGTCACAGAGCCTTTTTAATGGCAGGACAGGAAAGGGAACCGTGCCCTTCTGACTTCCAAGTTGGCATTCTTTGCTTTAGCAATACTAAGCACTTTCAAAACTCCAGTTACATGTGATACTTTTTTATTCTCCACAATGCCAAGCAGATAGTGAGCCCCTTAATTCCTACCTACCTTCTCAACAGCTCAGAAGACAAGATTCAAAGCGTCCTCCATTATCCCACTCATACAAGATGAGATCCCACTCCCCGGATGGCGAGATCATGGGTCATGCCCATCTTTCCGTTTGGGTTTGTGTGGACTCGCAAAGCAGACATTTCTCAGACATCCTTTTCTCCCGGACTGAGAGACTACTTCTTGTTTCCGTTCCCGAGTCCCGAGGAGACGCGGTTGCCACCCCCCGCCCTGTCCTCCCCTCCGACTACCTGTCTTCCCGAGCATCCCACCCCGCTGCCCAACCCACCTCGACCCTCGGCCGTCCCGGACGGTCCAGCGAGAGGACCTCTCTCGGTCCCGGGGTCCTCTCGCAGGTGAGGACCTGAGGAAGGGGGGAGGCGGCGCGGGGACCGGGACCGGCATCTGGCGCCCCCGTTCCACGTGGCGGAGCTGAGGGTTGTGATCTCGGCGGGAGCCGG